AATACCCGACTTTTCGTCTATTTCTCTGTCTTATTTTAAGTTAAATATTGATGTATATTTATTCTCTGTTCTTGCATAGTTATCTTTACTTAGTTGCATAAATATTGTACAGAATATGCATAGTTAGTGTAAGTGAGATGGAAAAACTATCTACTGAATTCTTGCATGGTTACTGTAAACTTGTTGCTATTTTATTGTAATTTCGTTGCCTAAATAGTGTACAGAAGATGCATAGTTAGTGTAAGTGAGATGTAAAAACTATCTACTGAATTCTTGCATGGTCACTGTAAACCTGTAGCTAATTTATTGTAATAGCATTGCATAAATAGTGTACAGAAGATGCATAGTTAGTGTAAGTGAGATGTAAAAACTATCTACTGAATTCTTGCATGGTTACGGTAAACATGTTGCTATTTTATTGTAATTTCGTTGACTCAATAGTGTACAGGAGATGCGTAGTTAGTGTAAGTGAGATGCATATTTATATAAAGAAAGCAATTTAAAGAAGAGTTAATATTTCTCTATACATCATATAATATCTGATAACAAAACATCAAATAACTATGTGTTACAATCAGAAATCTCATTGGTCTTAGTACAAGTTCTACTATTATGATTTCCTATTTCTCCGCATTTTCCACAATGCCTTTTCAGCTTTGGCTTGCTTTGGTTGACTTTTCTCGTTGTGAAAACAATCGGCTTCTTGTGCTGCTTCCACTTCCCTTGTTTTTTGCTTGCTTTGGAGGAAGGATATTTACATCCAGATTTGAGACTGAACCGCAAAAAGCTTCCATAACTGCTTCTTTGCTTAAGACTGAACCCCCGTCCTGCCGTCCACTCAACAAGTAATTCTTTTCTTCATTTAGAATTCTTGATAATCTAGCCAAGTTATTCTCGTCATCTTGAGCAAGCAATACATAACAATGAAAATCAGACCAGGTTTTGTTTATATAGGCATTCTGCTGAATTTTGTCATCTACTGCAGCAAATTTTCCATTTTCAAACTCATTACCGGAAGATGCAGCTTTGAGCCAACGGTTGAGAAGGTACTGATCAGGTATTCTATCTAAATCCTTGATGAACATTAGTATATGACGACATAATAATCTAAATTGCTCAAACATCTTGCAGCTGCAATTTTCAGAATCCCGACATTTATCTACAATGAAATCAATATCATCACGACTAGCTTCCACAACTTTATATCTTGTCACATAATTCTCATTTTGGATGTGGATAGGCAAACACCGAAAACATGCTGCTTCAATTTCTGTTTTTACCTCAGAAAATACTGTTTTAGTATAAACCTTTGCAGCATGTTTCTCAATTTCTAATGGTTTCTTTCATTCAGGAGGCGAAGGCACACATTCATGATGCATCTTACGTGAAACATGCTTTTGTGCATCCGTTGCACTTTCAAAATGCATAAATAACTCAACTAAGTTTGCTCGTGGAGATATGTAACTTCCAAACCAACTATTTGCACTTTCTGATCTAGAAGTTGTCTTAAGCAAACCGCCCATTTTCACATCTTTAAAATATGCTGGGATCCATGACTTTCTAATCTCAAACAGATTACGAAACCACTGATTTTCTGTTAAGGCAAAATCATTCATCAAATTTCCACATTTTTCTTCAAATTCACAAAGGGTAATATAACTATTCCAGACTATGTCATTTAATCTTTTGATGAAGGTATTATCCTTTGCTAAAGTAGGACCAACCTTTACATTTACCTTTTCCATAATGTGCCACATGCATAAACGATGTCTCGCATGTTTGAAAGTTGCCCGGATAGCATTCTTCATGGCAGGATCATGGTCGGTAACAACGTAATATGATTCATGTCCCATAGCCTTCAAGAAATTTTCCAACAACCAAATATATGATTCTTCATCCTCTTTAACAATCAATCCAAATGCATATGTTACACACTTTTTATGGTTATCTATTCCAATAAATGGGACAAACACCATTTTGTACCTGTATAAAAAAAAATTAATTAGGTCTGACAATATTTAATTTTACAACAGATGCATTTTTATTTCTATCTTCATGCATACTTAGTTGTCTTTTGTTGCAAAATTAGTTTCAAAGAGCTACAAACTTTGGCAGACAGTTATGCAGACTATTGTCTCAAAATAAATCACTTATTTGATATCAAAAAGCTTATTTAGTTTTATAAGCATGCAAGAATAGTTCTATAATGTTGCATACGTAGTTTTAAGGTGATGCATAGTTTGTATTATCACAAACTATTCAACTGCTAAGTTATTTCATACCTGTTGCATATTTAATTCATGACATTCACAACAGTAACAATCAGATATATCAGAACAATTTTTCACACTAAATAAATAAGATATTTGTTGTTTTTATATGCAATAGTTACCAATAAGAGCTGAGTAGAACTGAATTGTACCTGTTAGTGTTGTAGGTTGTATCAAATGAGACGACATCTCCAAACATCAGGTAATTTTTTCTTGAAATTGGGTCTGCCCAAAATATCTTGCTTAATTGGTTATTTCCATCAACTGCATACTCAAATGCCATGTCTAGGCATACTTATTGTTTGTTGTGGAATTTCTGAATGATGAGTTGCGCATCTGCTCCAGACATGTAAGTCATAAGTTCTCTCTTGTAGTTCTTGAAATTAATTGCGAAAGCACCAACATTAGCATATCCCCCAAGCATTTCCTTGTATAACCTATGGGTTTTAGCTGGTCCAATGTTTGCTTTCACACAATCAAGAACAAATTTCTAGTGTCCGTAATTCAATTGCCGATCTGCATTGAGATAAAGTGTCTACAATACTAGACTGTGGCAATGTTTTTCTTCGAATTCTGCAATTTTGTATCCATTTCCATCATACTCAAATATTACTCGAGCTTTGCAACCAACCCTTTTCGACCCACGTTGTCGTTGAACTCCACATGACTCAGGAGGTAGTTGTGGCATACTCTTTGAAGTATTTTGTTCGATTTCTGGCTTAAATCCTTGTCTATTGCAAATTAAATAAAGTGTCTACAATACTAGACTGTGGCAATGTTTTTCTTCGAATTCTGCAATTTTGTATCCATTTCCATCATACTCAAATATTACTCGAGCTTTGCATCCAACCCTTTTCGACACACGTTGTCGTTGAACTCCACATGACTCAGGAGATAGTTGTGGCATACTCTTTGAAGTATTTTGTTCGATTTCTGGCTTAAATCCTTGTCTATTGCAAACTAAATACTGTTTACTTACCACGCCACTTCTAAACAATTTTTTTGTGCTAGTTTGCACATCAAATCCACCATTTGCTCCATAGTTTCTGAACAAATCCATTGCAATATCAAGGTTTGGAAACAACATACCGACTTTAGGCTTTATATCTGGTTGGACGATTGGTATCTAATACTTTGTCAAATTTGGTGATATCACCAACTGAATCTGAGATCCCTCATGAGCAGTACATACTACAAAACATAAGAAGAAAATTAAGTTTGAGAACTGTTGCATGTTTAGTTCAATAATGTTGCATTCTTAGTTCAACTCATATCCATTTTTAGAACTAAAACGTTACATATATAGTTATAATCCAGAACAACTGATTGAATGAAACTGCAGTTATAACGTGCATACTTACCAAGATAATTTTGTGTAACTAGTTCAATAGTGTTGCAAATTTAGAAATAGGCAGTGCATATATAGATGTAATGCAGATCATTTGGATGAATATATGCAATTATTACGTGCATATTTATTCATATACGTATGCAAGTTTAGTTACTCTTTCATGCATAATTAGTTATTCTTTCATGCAAAGGTTGTTTTATATATATCGATCTAATGTATAAGTAGACCTGTGCAACAAACAATTTTTTTGTGCATGCTTATTAATAGATAGTTGCACATTTAGTTATTTGTACATGCATATGTATTTCTAAAGCGCAGCATATCTAATATTTATGTCAGAAAACAGAGATTCTTCCACAAATTACAATTGCAGATAAGCACGAACAACATATTTTCAATATTATGTGCTCGACTCTAATTAAATAACTCGATTTCATCAATGGATAATTCATCAGCACTGATTTTTTTAAATTTAGATGAATCAATTTGGAAAAAAAAAGTCAGTATACCTTCTTCCATTAATTTTGCAACTGGAGTTGCTTCGATCTCCATTGAAGTTGCTTTCGCCGACATTGTGTGATAAATCTGATGAACTTTATGAACCCGATGATTCTAATCGACTTTTTTTCTCTGGATATTTTGACATGCGGTTGAGTTTGTCTAACGAATATATAAAAAAGGATACTTAAACCTAATTAGTCGATGATATCGAACTTCAAGATGATAAGGAAATCGAGTATGAGAAGGAAATCGTACAGAATCGTGATTGAGAAGGAAATTTTAGATTTTTTTTTTTTTTTTTTCTGATTTTGTTGCGAGCAGGGCTGGAGATCTGTTTTAATTGTGTTTGATTTGTTATATTTATATGCTTAATTTTGATCTTAGATTTGAAAGGCAGATCTGACGGCTCAGATAATGGTCTCACGTGCACATTTTAAGGGGTGGACTCATTGGATCCACCCGTATATATATTGTATGAACGCAGATTTTTTTTATAGAACTATATAAATTATTTACTCAAATTCCGCTATTCAATTAATTCCAACATTTTTTCACTATTATTAATATTATTAAATAATAAAAACAATCATATTACACATTTTTCAACATAATTTATTATTTATCTACTCAAATATTTTTAATTATCAAATATTTATAATTATTTTTTTTTATTTTTTATATATTATATTAATTTCAAACATTACAATTTATTTTATATCTATCCAAACCATTAATCAAATTTTCCTACTTCCTATTCTCTTTATTCAATCAATAAAAATAAACGAAAATATTTTATTCAATCCCAATTTATTAATTTGTTTTACATTTCTCAATTGCAATTTTCAAGATTAGGAAAGTGGGAAGGCAGCTCTCTCTCCCTAGCCTGTAGCCCTGCACTATAAATTCACTGAAAAAACTCTACACTTTATACACGCCTACATACTCACCATTTCTGTACAGCATTTCTATACCAAAAGCCTAATAAACAGAAAATTAATAACAATAAATTCGCATTAACCTTTTGCTGATTCAAAACTTCCGAATTCCGATATACAATTTTTTCCCTAACGGATATTTTTTCCAGTCATTTACCGGCAATGGCGGAAACCTGCAGTCGAAAACTGACCGTGGAGGTTTGCAATGCCAAGAACCTGATGCCCAAGGACGGCCAGGGTACGGCCAGCGCCTACGCCATCGTCGACTTCGACGGCCAGCGCCGCCGGACCAGGACCATCCTCCGGGATCTCAACCCTCAGTGGGACGAGAAGCTCGAGTTCTCCGTCCTCGACTCCGCCGCCATGGCCGACGAGATGCTGGAGCTCAACCTCTACAACGACAAGAAGACCGGAAAACGCAGCACCTTTCTCGGGAAGGTCAAGATCTCGGGGAGCACCTTCGTGAAATCCGGCGACGACGTGCCGCTGGTCTACTACCCGCTCGAGAAAAGGAGCGTTTTCTCTCAGATCAAGGGCGAGATCGGACTTAAGGTCTGGTACACCGACGAGGAGCCCCCGCCGGCGCCGGCTCCGGAGAAGAACGACGCTCCTACGCCGCCGGCATCAGAGGAGAAGCCGCCGGAGGAGGAGAAGGTGGAGGAGAAGAAGTCAGACCCTGAAGCCAAGGAGAATGAGAAAAAGGAAGCAGAGCCAAAATCCGCGCAGGAGGAGTCCAAAGAAGAGGAGAAACCGCCGGAGACGACGGCTCCGCCAGTGCCACCGTCCCCAAAGCCGGCGGCGCCCACGGAATCGGAGCACCCACCGATCTCCCAACAAACAGCCGCACCAATTCCCAAAAAATCAATAGTTACCGAAAGCTCAAAATCCACCGCCGAAATCGAATCCCAGATCTTCCGTAAAATCACTGGCGGCGCTGCAGATCGGAGGACCGCCTTCGACCTAGTGGACCAGATGCCTTTTCTATTCGTCCGCGTCGTGAAAGCCAAAATCTCAAATCCAGATCTAGCAGAGCCCACCTTCTGCGCAAAGCTCATAATCGGCACCCATAGCATCAAAACCAGATCTCAGCCAGCGAACAGCGAGTGGGACCAGGTATTCGCTTTTGATAAAGAAGGCTTGAATTCATCTTCTCTCGAAATCTCCATTATAGCCGAAAAGAAAATCCCAGAAAAAGAAACAACAGAGGAGACATCCTTTGGCACGGTCTCGTTCGATCTGCAGGAGGTCCCCAAACGCGTGCCGCCGGACAGCCCGCTGGCCCCACAGTGGTACAGCCTGGAGGGAGAAGGCTCGCCGGGAAATGACGTCATGCTGTCAGTTTGGGTCGGGACACAAGCCGACGAGGCCTTTCAGGAAGCCTGGCAATCAGATTCCGGCGGTTTGATTCCAGAGACCCGAGCCAAAGTCTACCTTTCCCCGAAGCTGTGGTATCTGAGGCTAACGGTCATCCAAACCCAAGATCTGCAACTTGTCTTAGGTCCCGAGCCTCGGTCTCCTCGGAACCTCCTGGAACTCTATGTAAAAGCCCAGCTCGGCCCACAAGTCTTTAAAACAAGCCGCACTTGCATCGGCTCCACCAATCCCACATGGAACGAGGATTTGATTTTCGTTGCCGCTGAGCCATTCGAGCCGTTCCTGACCATCACCGTGGAAGACGCATCAAGCACGCGTCCCATGGGGCACGCGAGGGTGCAGATTGCTACGGTGGACAGGCGCACGGACGACAAATCGGAGCCAAGATCCACATGGTACAACCTCACCGGAGATGATGACAAGGCCTACGCCGGGAGAATACACGTGCGTGCCTGCCTTGAGGGCGGGTATCACGTGCTCGACGAGGCAGCCCACGTGACTAGCGACGTGCGGCCCACGGCGAAGCACCTCTCCAAACCCCCGATCGGCCTTCTAGAAGTCGGCATTCGCGGCGCCTCCAATCTTCTCCCCGTCAAAACCGCCGACGGGACCCGCGGCACCACCGACGCCTACGTGGTGGCCAAATACGGGCCAAAGTGGGTCCGCACGCGCACCATCCTCGATCGGTTCAACCCGCGGTGGAACGAGCAGTACACTTTCGACGTGTACGACCCGTGCACCGTCCTCACTGTCGGCGTCTTCGACAACGGGAGTTACAACGGGAAGAAGGACGTATGCCTCGGGAAGCTCAGGGTACGACTCTCCACCCTCGACACCAACCGCGTTTACGCCGGCACGTACTCTTTGACTACGCTCCTCCCCGGCGGCGCGCGGAGGATGGGCGAGGTCGAGATCGCGCTGAGGTTCTCGTGCTCGTCTTGGATCGGTCTCGTGCAGGCGTACGCGAGCCCGACGCTACCGAGGATGCACTACGTGAAGCCGATGGGCCCCGCGCAGCAGGACGTCCTGAGGCACAACGCCATGAGGATCGTGACCGCAAGGCTGGCTCGGTCAGAGCCGGCCTTGGGTCACGAGGTGGTGCAGTACATGCTTGACACGGACACGCACGTGTGGAGCATGAGGCGGAGCAAGGCCAACTGGTTCAGGGTCGTTGGCTGCCTGTCTCGGGTGGCCGCCGTTGCTCGGTGGGTCGACGGGATTCGGACGTGGGCCCACCCGCCGACTACTGTCTTGGTCCACGTTTTATTGACAGCTGTCGTGCTCTTTCCGGACCTGTTTTTGCCAGCGGCATTCTTGTATGCATTTCTGATACTGGCGTTGAGGTTCCGGTGCCGGCGGCCAGCGCCGGTGGCGATGGATCCCGGGCTCTCATGTGTGGATGCGGTGGGCCCGGATGAGTTGGATGAGGAGTTTGATGGGTTCCCCTCCGCGCGGCCGGCGGAACAAGTGAGGGTGAGGTATGATAGGCTGCGGGCGCTGGCGGGCCGGGCGCAAACGCTGCTGGGTGACGTGGCGGCGCAGGGGGAGAGGGTGGAGGCGCTGTTCAGCTGGCGGGACCCGCGGGCGACGGGGATATTCTTGGTGGTGTGCTTGGTGGCGGCGATCGTGTTCTATGTGGTGCCGTTGAAGGCGTTTGTGTTGGGGTCGGGGGTTTATTACCTCCGACACCCGAGGTTCAGGGGGGACATGCCGTCGGTGCCGATGAATTTCTTCCGGCGGCTGCCGCCGCAGTCCGATCGGATTCTCTGAAAAGTTATTTATGTTAGTAAAGTTGTTATTGAATTATATTATTATTATTTTTGATATTGTGTGTTTGGTTAATGAGAAATTGTTTCAAGGATTTTGATTAGGGGTAACTTTTGTGAAGCACTTTCCCGGTTTACCAGGGGGCTTTTGATTCTGTGAACGTGGAGGCGCTGAGCTGAATAATACTTATTTATTTCTGTGTCTTTAAGTGGAAAAGTTGTATCTTAGATTACTGGTGCCATTAATTAGTGTATTTGCTGTCTCAAAAGTGACCGTTGGGGTTTGTCCAGTTCTCCAATACGATTTTTCGATGGGAGCGCTTTTGAATTGAATACGAACACGTTTGAACTCAGTGACCGTTGCGGATGAGACTTAGCTGAAGTGCGCCAAACTTATTACTACTCTACTACCATCCTTTATTTTGTTGACCCTGATAGAAGTCGCACGCAAATAACAACTCACAACTAAAACTTCAATATTTTAATTTGGACGTGACGTGAAACAAGATTGCTGTTCGATTATGTAATTTGTGAATAAAATATTATAAATCATGTATTATATAATACAAAAGTTATAATTTAAATACATTCTAAGTGTTTGATTATTAATTAATTCCATAAAATATAATGAAGAATGTAACTATTTGTAATTTTAAGGTACCATTACCAATGAATTAGCAGAAAAGTATCAAAATTATAATTACATTTTACTTATGCGGGATTTCGATCTGCTCTCACACTTCGAATTGACTCTCCACTGATCCTCGATCGCTTGCTCTCCGGAGACCTGCAAAGACGCCGGGAAGTGTTTCCGGCGTTAAATCTCCGACGCTCAAATCAATAAATGATAGAGAAAAGTTGTATGTAATTGTATTGCTTAGGGTTTGTAGAGTGTGATTAACATTACCTCTCCTTCTATCTACCTATTTATATGGAGTTCATTAGCTTTTCCTGTACGCTTCGTTCCTCATTCGTCAGATCACTTATTCCCTTTTTATCCTGATCCTACATGTGTCCTTCATGGATTACTCTACCTAATTGTTATCTTAGCTCAATTTTTATCCTATCACGGATCATCCTTTCCTTCAAGGACCCCTTACTGAATGGTATTGAGCTATTCTGGTAATGAGCCTTTTACACTTAGCTACTACCAGCGAGCTATTCCCGAGCTCCTGTTACGCCGAACACATATAACGCTAAGCCAGACGAGCTACTACTACTCTTATTGGGTCGAGATGACATAACACCGAGCTATTACTGCTTTATTGGGCCGAACCGACACAACACCGAGCTATTACTGCTCTTATTAGGCCAAACCGACACAACATCGAGCTATTACTGCTCTTATTGGGCAAAACCGACATAACACCAAGCTATTACTGCTCTTATTAGGCCGAACTGATATAACATCTAGCTACTACTGGCCACCGACCGAGCTCATACAATTCCTAGCTACCACCGCTCCACAGAGCGAGCTCCTATAATGTCGTGGTACTACGGGCCTACTAACCGAGCTTAATTATGTCTGGTGCAGTGAGCTAACACTTCTGTTAAGCCGAACTGTTAGTACTTCACTGAGCCGAGCTAGTCCCCCTGGTTCACTGAGCTGCTCTTATGTGCTATATCATCTAGTCCCCCTATTATAGAACGAGCTATTGTTCTTCGAGCTCAATAGACTTGTTAGATAATGATAAATATTAATAATAATGATAAGCCGAACTGTTGTCTTATTTCGACCGGTCCCGTCCGAACTCCATCCGAAAAGGCATTCTTCGCACAATGTGCCTGTCTTTACATCTTTCTCAGTCATTATTGTTCTTGGGCTCCGCGATTAGGGTTTATTTTTTACCGTTGGATTCCCATAGATCGAACGGCTGTATTTCCCCTTCATGTGCTATAAATAACATTTCACCATTCTCTCTGTCGCATCTCCTTACTTTAAAGACTTAATTGCTAATAAAACCATAACCTTTTCGAAATTTGCAAGTATATGCATCACTTTTAAACTTGACAAATATATACATCACCTTTACAATTTTTGGGAATTGTATGCACCGCGCCCAAGTTCGGGCTTTGCTTGCTGACATAGCTACTGACGTGGCGATTTTGTTGACATGGTTGACATGGTAATTTTTTGCTGACGTAGAGGCTGATGTGGCGGCAAAAAATATAAACAAAGCCAAGGTTCGAACTTGTGACCTCTAGGTTGTATGTGGCACTATAACCACCACACCAATACAACTTCTATGTTAAATATAACAGCAATTAATATATATGGACACTAAGTATTAATAAATACAATTCAATTTTAAAGATAATGTAAATTATATTAATAAGATATAAACGTATAATAATTAAATATAATACTAAATGGAAAATAAATTAAAATAAAGTAAGATAGATTATTATAGTACAGTGCATTTAAATTAAATTAAAATAAAATAAATTATTAAGTTTATTATTTATTAAAATTAAATTAATTATATAAATTTGGAAATAAAAAATAATAATAATAAACTTAAATTAAAAAATAAATTAGATCAAAGTTCACTGGTTAAACTTAAATAAGAATAATATAATCTAAGATAACAAAGTATTAAAATAAAATTGTATTTATTTTACCATTTTTATAAGACAATATATTATTTTTTATATTATCATATAAGATAATATAATATAATATTAAATAATATAAGATAATATAATATAAGATAATATATTTTTTATAAAATAATATAATATATGATAATGTATTATTTATTACAATTTATTATCTTATATTTATTATATTAAAAAAATAATATAATATAATACATTATAATATTATTATTATAATGTAATAAATATTCATAATATTATATTATATTATCATATATTAATCTTATATTTTAGAATCTTATATTCATAATATAATATAAGATAGTAAAATAAAATGAAATAAATAGTAAAATAAAATAAAATAATTATTTTATTATCTTATATTAAATAAAATGGTAATAAAATAAATATTTTATTATCTCATATTTATTTTATTTTACCATTTTTTATAATTTATTATCTTATATTATATTATTTTTATTTTGCAGCACACAGGTTCCTCTAGAAGTTGGTGGCACCATGTTTGCAGCATTGATCATTCAGAGGTAGCAGAGTACAAAATTCAACTGTCCACTTATTTGCTTTGGTGGCTCTCGACGACTAGGAACCAATGGATTTTTCAAAACTCAATCCCTTCTCCTCACATTGTGATGAAAGTTGCACTTTCGGACTGGAGGGACTTCACTGCAGCTTCTTCTTCTTCTTCCTAGTACTTATTTGCTTTCTTTTCTTTGAGTTTTTTGTTGTTTGGACAAGATGTTTTTTGCTAGGCTCTGAGCCAGTGGTAAAACTCTTGCTCTTTTGTTTGCTTTCTAGTAGTTTGGTTTGTTCAGTTGAGATTCTAGGCCATAATGTTGATGTGCCTCTCAAGTTGTCCTTATCGGTGGATGATTACTNGCGAAAGACCAACATCACCAAATCTTTACGAGAGTGAGAACATGAGTGGCTATAAAGCACTGTAACAAGCCAACCCAAACGTGCTCCCTACCATATTCAAGTCTGTTTCTTTTTCAAACAGAAAACACACCCACAAAAAAGCGATGGATATGAATATTACTCATAAGACAAGTTTTTCTCCTTGAAAGAGTTTGATAAAAACATCAAACAAGAAAATTGAGATTGCCATTAAAGTTGTAGCAGATTTCATACTGAAAATGAGGTGACAAAATTTCCTTAAACCCTAGGCTAAGGTACAGATACCTTTTATAGGCCTAAAGCAAGTCTAACATACGGTCTAGATCAAACTTAATACATGATGAATAAATCTAGTCCACACAGTACAAACCAATCATCTCAATATAAGCTAGTGGACAAAAGACATGCAGAGGTGCATGTGAGCTACATCATCCGAGCTGTCATTGTGCATGTGTCCTTGCATGAGTGTGTTTGATTTGTTGGGTCATGAAGCAGCATTCCGCATCGGCATGATGACTCAAAAGGTTGACCATGGTGACTTTCATCCCTCCTCAATCCGATCAAGGCTTTACAGAAAACCTTGAGACTTTTCTTGTGCTGAGAGAAGGGTTGATAGGATAGAGTTTTGGTAAATATGTCTGCAACTTGGTCTGAAGTGGGAATATGAAAAACTTGAATACGGTTGCTTGAGATCATGTCCCTCACAAATGAAGATCCAACTCGATGTGTCTAGTTCTTGCATGCTGAATGGGATTAGAAGCAAGAGCAATGGCACTAATATTGTCAACCCAAATCTTTGGTATCCCTTCAAAATTTATTGATAATTCTTTCATGAGATTTGTTAGCCAAATCAATTCTGCCACTGTATTTGCAAGACTCCGGTACTCTGCTTTTGTGCTTGATCGAGAAACAAAACCTTGCCTTTTGGAACTCCAAGAAATAAGGTTGTCACCATAGTAAACACAAGATCCTCCAATTGATTTTCTGTCATCAACATCGGTTGCCCAGTCTGAGTCTAAAAATGCAGTCAGATTTAAATGAGTGCCTCTGGTGAATAAAAAGCCATGATCAGTACTCCCTACAAGATATCTCAGAATTCTTTTCAAAGCTTTCCAATGAGGAGCAAGTGGATTACACATGAGCTGACTAACTTTGTTGACACTGAAAGATATCTCTGGCCTTGTGATAGTGACATATTGTAAAGCACCAACCAAACTCCTGTACATGGTATTATTAAGGTCAGAGATTGCCCCATCTATCTCTGATCACTTCCAGTTATCAATATATCATCAACATAGATCAGTAGGTAAGTTGTATGAGAAGGTGTGACTTTAAAGAACAATTACGTATCAACCTTAGATTTTCTGAAACCAAGATCATGAAGAATGTTGCCTATCTTGGTAAACAAGCCCTTGAGGCTTGTTTCAATCCATATATGGCCTTTGACAGCTTACAAACCATTGCTTTTCCTTCAATATTGTGCTCAAAACCAATTGGTTGCTTCATGTAGATATCCTCTTGTAGATCCCCATGGAGAAAAGCATTATTAACATCTAAATGTTTGATGTGCCAACCTCTTTGGATAGCTGTGCTGAGAATAAGCCTAATGGTTGTAGGTTTAACCACTGGGCTAAAGGTTTCTAAAAAATCAAAGCCAGCCTTTTGTGTATAGCCTTGTGCCTAGCTATTGATCCATCTGAGTGCCTTTTTATTTTAAAAACCCACTTGCTGCCAACAACATTCTTGCCGTGAGAAGTTGGAACTAGAGTCCAAGTTTGATTTTTCAGTAGAGCTTCATACTCATTCTGCATATCTCTTTTTCAAACATCTGAAGTCAAAGCTTCTTTGACTGATTTTGGTTCAGTTTCCAACTTAGCTGAAAATGCTTTAGGTTTAAAGTGGTTAATTCTTGATCTTGTCACCATATGGTGTTTGAAGGTGATTGGCTGAGGGTTTGAATTTTATTGATCAGTTGGACTTATTGGTAGATCAATGACCAATGGGATGTTGCTATAAGAAGAAGTAGGCTAAGGTGTCCCATGATCACTATGCCTTGGACTCACTGAAGGAGATTGATTTGAAATGTTGTTGCTGCCTTGAATGTGGGTATCAAGTGTTTGAACATCAGCATTTGGCAATGACGGATCTTGCCTATCTTATTGAATGCTCTCATTAGGATGCTGCATAAGTGTATTGAAAGGCTGTTGAGGCACTGGACTTTCATCTGTTGTCTCTTTTGGATGATAGGGAAATTTATTCGTCAAATACAACATGCCTTGAAATCACAATCTTACCACTTGGAAGCAGAACTTTATACCCTTTATATTGACCATTGTAGCCAAGAAAAACACCTGCAACTGATCTGAACTGTAGCTTACATTTTTTCCAAGGTCTAATGTATGGGTAACATAGACATCAAAAGCTTTCAGTGCATTGCAATCTGGCTTTGGTTTTAACAGACATTCTATAGGAGTTTTATAGTCTATCACTTTGCTTGGAATCCTGTTAATAATAAAAGTTGCTGTGCAAAATGCATCATCCCAAAATTTAATTGGCAAATTTGAATGAGCAAGAAGGGATAAACCCATTTCCACAATATGCATGTGTTTTCTTTCTGCCACCCCATTTTGTTGGGGTGTGTAGGGACAAGATATCATGTGATGGATCCCTTGATCATGAAAGAATTTAGTGAGAGTCTTATATTCAGTTCCTCCATCTGTTTGCAATGCTTTAATCTTGCAGTTAAGTTGGTTTTCAACAAGAGCTTTGAAATGTAGAAACACCCCATGAACCTCAGCTTTGGTTTTCAACAAATAAATCCAAGTAAATCGATTGAAATGATCAACAAAGCTAATGTAATAATGATAGGCATTAGAAGATCTTAAAGGAGCAGGCCCCCATAGATCTGAATGAATAAGCTCAAGGGGTTGAGTACAAGTTGTTTGAGAATCAGAAAAATGAAGCTTATGGCTTTTAGCAAGCATACAAAAGGAACATAGAGATGAGCTGTCTTGATTTGAAATGGAAAAATTACAGGCTTTCATAACTCTTTCTATTACATCATGACTAGAGTGACCTAATCTAAGATGTCATAGATTTGAGTTCGTCTTCTTATTGAAAACAGTAGAACATGCTTGAGCTTTGATAATTGATTGATCTGAGAAGTGTTGGAATTTATTGGTGGACTCTGAAGAAGACTTGATGGTTTGAAGGTTAAAGTGATATAGGCCATTTTGAACTGTCCCTCTAAGAACAGTATGTTGGGTTGTTTGATCCTTCACAAGGCAATAAGAAGGGTGAAATTCAAAGAAAACATTATTATCTGAGGCAAAGCTAGAAACACTAAGAAGATTCTTAGTTATAGAAGGTACATGCAGCAGATTTTTAGGCATGAATGTTCTATTTCCAAAGGTAGATCTCAAAGTCGAGTTATCTATGTGATTGATGTTGATTTTGGCACCATTTCCTATTTGTAACCTGCTGTTTCCTCCATATTTAGAGCCCATATTCATGTTGGCGAGATCATTGGTGAAATGTGTGGTAGCACCTGAGTTTGGAAACCATGTAGACTCATTTCCATATTCTGATGAAGCTGTTGAGTTTGGGATTTGTATTGAGTTTCCCAAATGAGCCATGTACGCAAGGAAGGATTTCTTTGTCCACCAAATTTCTGCAGAGTTGACTGAGAGGAGACATTAGGAGAAAATGAATTATCATTTCTATACCAACACTTGTCAGCTGAGTGGCCATCTTTGTGACATATTTGATAGGTAATTCTATTTCCATTGAACCTTCCACCTCTTCCTCTGTAGCCACGGCCATTTCTTCCTCCTCCTGATTGATTTGAACCTCTGAAGCCTCTAAGATTTCCTCTCATAGGGCCAGGTCCACTGTTGTTGTTCCAAGGAGACTTTGAGTTCATTTGCATTGCATTTATGGACATTTGAGACCCATCTGAGTTTATATTGGCACTGAAAATGTGTTGGCTTCCAATCTTGCCTCATAACTGAGAAGTAGAGCATGGAGTTCACTGAGAGAGTAAGGTTCCAGTCTAGAAGTTACATTCACCATTACTGAGTCATACTCATTTCCTAGACCAGAGAGTATATGAAGAACCTGGTCTTTCTCATCAATCTTATGTCCAGCAGATGCCAAAGTGTCACAACAAGATTTCATCTTTCCAATGTAATCCCTCATAGGCTTTCGATTTTTCCTCAAAGATTGCAACATAATCTTATATTGCATGATTTTAGCTTGTGACTTAGTGGAGAAATTATTTTCAAGGGCTAACCAGATCTCTTTAGCAGTGTTTAAGCCCACAGTCAGGATAAGAATACCTTCTGTCAGTGATGAGAGGATCCATGAGGCTAGGATCTGGTCTTGTCTCTCCCATAGAGCATAAGCTAGGTTTGTTTCCACTGAAGTGCCAACAAGTTGTGTTTCTGAGGGGGCTCTACTGTCTCTTTTGATGAAAGACTCGAGGCCATAGCCTTTAATGGCTGTAAGAGCTTGTTGTTTTCAAATAAGGAAGTTTCTCTCATCTAGTTTTCTTGAAATTAGCTGACTTTGAGGATAAATGATTTGGTTTGAAGGTTGCTCATTTGTGTTTCGAATTTCTGCCATGGTAACAGATACTTTGTATCAGAAAAGAAAATAAAAAAACAAAAGAAGAGAGAGGTGATCAGAGACTGGTATAATCCTGCTCTCATACCATGAAAGAGTTTGATAAAAACATCAAACAAGAAAATCGAGATTGCCATTAAAGCTGTAGCAGATTTCATACTGAAAATGAGGTGACAAAATTTTCTTAAACCTTAGGCTAAGGTACATATACCTTTTATAGGCATAAAGCATGTCAAACCTACGGTCTAGATCAAACTTACTACATGATGAATAAATCTAGTCCACACAGTACAAACCAATCATCTCAATATAAGCTAGTGGACAAAAGACATGCAGAGGTGCATGTGAGCTATATCATCCAAACTGTCATTGTGCATCTGTCCTTGCATGAGTGTGTTTGATTTGTTGGGTCATGAAGCGGTATTCCACATCGGCATGATGACTCAGCAGGTTGACCATGGTGACTTTCACTCCTCAAAAAACCCAACAAATATGATAATTTTTTTTCAAAAAAAAATGCATTAGAATAAATTGTTTTATGCTTATCCCATTGAACATAATAGAGATTGAGATATTTTCTCAAAGATCCGCCATCTGGACCTTGAGGGATTCCATGTGAGGCCCTCTGGAAACCGGGAGCTAAAGTCGATTGAATTTGTTTTCCTTTTCCTTGCCGTTTTCAGCCCTTGTTGCCACCACTAAACTGGAAAATGAAAAACCTGAAACCAAGAAAACCATCTATGCGGAAATATAAAAAAATTCAAATAGTAATTTTTAAAAAACTGGAGCAGAGCACAATGCACGTCGACAATTGGTAAAGTATAGAAATTAAAGCAATAGTGAATGCAAAATAACATCAACAAATCTCTTTTTCATTGTCGGGGTCGACGAAATCTAAAACGATTCTGATAGATATCGGCGGCAAGGTCTCTCTCCTTTTATTCGTCCAAAAATGAAAACCAATATATTCGTAACAAAATTCTAAAAGCAAAATGGCTGAAAAATATATTTCCACAATCTTGAATGGTATTATATGATAGCATACTATAAATATAATGTACATCGCAATATTGAATACCTCTTTAATTTGACATGGGATATTGTCCACTTTGAACATTTCTTTCTCTTTAAGGACTTTAGTATTGCACCCATATGTTCGCTAAATCCATCATCAATTTCTACCAAGAAAACTTGTGTGGCTCTTTTCGCCCTCAATTTTGTGAACCTTGATAAGTTTTAGGAGGATCTTCATGAATATTGTAATTGGGAATTTCCATCATTTCATTCGAATGTTTTAGAGAGAGGTTACATCAAATCAGTGTGGCTGCTACCACTTTTACACTGTTTATATAATCTTAGGAGAATAATCTAGAATCTAAACCCTAGCCAATCTACACCACACATTAATGATAAGGATGAATGAATAATGCCAAATAATGATAGCTGCAGCGCGTAAAGGGCTTTGTCTTCTTGCATTCCAACATGCAACATGCTCCTCGGTGACATGGCAGTGAGAAGGGAAGCTGACCAGGATTCTCGTGTTGACTGGTTTGACCGGTTTGCATGATTATTATTTTTAACAGCCCCCCTCAATTTGTGCTCGGCTTTGTCGATGATTCCTAGTCTCGATCGAAGGTGAGCAAAGAATTTCCCTATAAGAGGTTTTTTAAAAAGGTCAGCAACTTGTTCAAGTGAAGGAATATGTTGAACTCTTATCTCCTTGGAGTTCACTTTCTCCCTAACAAAGTGAAAATCGATTCCCACATGCTTTGTTTTGGAATGAAAGACTGGATTCTGAGAGAGATGGACTGCACCAAGGTTGTCGAGCCAAATGGTAGTAGGATGCTGATTATTGAAACTTAATTCTACTAGCAAACGTCGCAGCCAAAGAACATCACAAGTGACACTAGCCAAACTTCGAAATTTTGCTTCAGTGCTTGAACGGGAAACTGTAACTTGCTTCTTTGCACTCCAAGTTATCAAGTTGGGGCCCAAGTAAACACAAGTACCACTGGTTGACTTTCGATCATCTACATCCGTGGCCCAATCAGCATAAGCAAATCCTATGAGGTGAAGAGGTCCTTTTTGTATTTGCAGCCCATAATTTATGGTGCCAGCCAAGTACCTCAAAATCCTTTTGAGTGGCTTCCAATGAGATTCAAAAGGATTTTGCATATACTAATTGATCTTGTTAATGCTAAAGGATATTTCAGGTCTTGAGATAGTGGAGTATTGCAAGGCACCAACTATGCTCCTGAATAAGGTTGGATTATTGAAGGGCTGGCCATCATATTTGTATAGGTGAGGGTGTGATACCATTGGAGAGTGCACTCCTTTTGCTCCTTCCATCTTTAACTTAGCCAAAATTTCTGAAATGTATTGGCTTTGGCTTAGGATGATCCCTTGGTCAGTGTAGTTGACTTTAATGCCTAAGAAGTGACTTAACCTGCCCAAGTCCTTGATGGAGAAATATTGTCTCAGTTTTGTGATAGTGTCTGCAATCTCTCTTTCATTTGATCTTGTAATGATAATGTCATCCACATAGACTAGGATGTAGATTCTTCAGTTAGGCTGGTTTCTGAAGTAGAGGGATGAGTCTGATTTGGAAGAGTTGAAACCTAAGGATGTAAGAGTTATGTTTAATTAGGAGTTTCAGGCTCTTGAAGCCTGTTTTAGCCCATAGAGAGATCTTTTGAGCTTGCAGACCAATGGAACCCCTTCTTTATTCTTTTTTTTTTTTTTCATATCCAGGTGGCTGATCCATGAAGATATCAACATCAAGGTCTCCATTTAAGAAAGCATTGTCCACATCTAGGTGCTTTATAATCCAAGAGTTAGTGACAACAATTGATAATACAAGTCTTATTGTTGTTGGCTTTATAACAGGGCTAAAAGTGTTACCAAAGTCCAATCCTGGCATTTGAGTGAAGCCCTTTGCTACTAATATGGCCTTGTGCCTACTCACCTTACCAGCAGCATCCCTTTTTAATTTAAACACGCATTTGCACCCAACAGTGCTTCTTCCTTCTGGTAGAGGAGTGAGATCCCATGTTTGGTTGTTTATGAGTGTCTCATACTCCTTATTCATGGCCAAGGTCCATTCCTTTGAGGCTAATGCCTCATTGAAATCCTTAGGTTCAGAATTTAATGGAGAGCTTGTAAAATATACCTTAGGTTTCCTGATGCCTGCCCTTGATCTTGTTATCATTGTATGAGTAGGTGCTGGTTCTGCGGTTTGTGCTTCTCTTGTTGGTTCAATTTCATCTGATGCATGACCCTCATTGTGATTAAGAGGTAAGTTGATGGTGATACTCCCTATTGGGATTGTTGACGTTGAAGACCCTGAGAATTTGAAAATGTTTGGAGTGACTTGTGGAGCTGCTTGTGTTGGTGTGCTGTTGGGACTGTGATGATTGAAGTCATGGTGTTGTTGGTCTGAAATATCACTTTCTTCCAGAATGGTGAGAGTAGGTGAGGTTTGCTGCATAAATGGTGATTTTGAACCAACCTGTTGAGCAGCTTCAAGAAATGGGAATTTTTCTTCATTAAACACCACATGTCTGGACACAATCATTTTGTTGTTGGGTAATAACACTTTATACCCCTTATACTGAGGGATATACCCAATGAAGACTTCTGGTTGACTTCTCAGCTCCAATTTGTGCTTGTTGAGATGCCTCAAATAAGGGTAAGACAAACAACCATAGACCTTTAATGACTTATAGTCAGGAATCACTCTACAAAGTTTTTCAAAGGGTGATTTATAATCAAGAACTTTTGTAGGCATCCTGTTAATAAGATATACTACAGATGTGAAGGCTTCATCCCAATACTTGTGAGGAATTTCTGCATTGGCCATTAAGGTGAGACATGTTTCTACAATGTGCCTGTGTTTTCTTTCCACAAGGCCATTCTGCTGTGGAGTGTAAGGGAAAGAAAGCCTATGGACAATTCCATTTTTAGATAGAATGTTGTGAAGTGGTTTAAACTCTGTCCCTCCATCACTCTGTAGGATTTTAATTTTGCCCTCCAAATTGATTTTCAATTAGTTTTTTGAAATGTAAGAAGGCTGCAGGTACATCAGTCTTGGCCTTTAACAGATACAACCAAGTATACCTTCTGCAGTGATACACAAGGCTCATATAATAATAGTAACCATTAGTGGTTTTGATAGAAGATGGTCCCCACAAGTCTGTGTACACCAACTCAAAAGGGTTATCATAAACAAAAACTGAATCATGAAAAGGTAACTTATGGCTCTTGGCCTGCAAACAAGCAATGCATGGGTTCATATCTTTATTCATCACAAAAAGAAGGTCAAAGTCACTCAAAACCTTCTTAATTACATCAAAAGAGGCATGCCCAAGTCTACAATTCCATAAATCTAAAACAGATTGCTTAGAAACAGAAAATGAATTTGCAATAGGTTGTCTTCTTAAATGAACTTCATTCTTGTGTCTCAAACTCTGAACACCATTTCCCTTAGCTGAAGTGAGCTTGAAATAATAAAGTCCATCTTTAACTTCCCCTTACAGAAGGACTGCTTTTGTTCCCTGATCCTCCACAACACAATATCTTGGATGAAATTCAAAAAAGACAACATTATCTTGAGCAAATTGTGAGACACTTAATAAATTTTTTGTGATTTCTGGCACATGCAACATATTTTTAAGAAGAAGGGGTTAGTATTGGAGAATACCCTTTGATAAGAGTATTACCAAGATGAGTGATGGGAAGGCCAGCTCCATTTCCCATGAGGACTCTCTCACTACCTGCAAACTCAGAAGCCATACTCAAATTGCTCAAATCATGTGTGATGTGGTTAGTGGCACCTGAGTCAGGATACCAATATCCTTGTGAAGCTTCATTACTCGCCTCCATGCTAGCCATGTTGACCATAGAAGGTCCTTGCTCATTGCCAAACTGTTGAGAGTACTGAGATGAGCTAGCATTTCTGTGATTTTGTAGTGCCCCATTTGTTCCGGATTTATTTGAGATATTTAATCGTTATATTTTATTCGAATTAATTATTTTGGGCTCGATTAATTAATTTCTACATAATTATATGCTCGTATTTGTCTAAGTGTATTTATTTTATTATCGAGCCGAATTAATTTAATTAATGTTCGAACCGAGTCGGGCATTTAATTATCGATCGCACGCCAACCCGGGCTTTTCCCAATCCGCGCGCACGCCTCACGCACTAGGCCCGCATGCGCTGCCTGACCCGCCACCCTCCCATCCTTGCATGCATGTCACTTCTTTTCGAATTTTAAATTCAAATTATGTAACACTTTATCCCATTAAATCAGCATTTGACCCTCATCACTCTCCTTATGACCAGATTGTATGTGGAGGGGGTTATATTTTGATTTCATTAAATAGGAAACTTTTTCTCTCTCTTTCCCTATTCACTCTCCCTCACTCTCTCTCTCTCTCTCGGCACTCTCTCCCTCTCTTCTCTTTGAGAAATTTCAGAGCTCTCATATTCTTTTTTCTCTTCTCTTTGTTGTCGAAAAAATCCCCTGGAGCTCCGCCTCGCTAACGCCGCGTGGCCACCCCACCGCACGCGACGCCGCACGCCCGCGCCTCGAGCCCCGCGGTCAACCGCAAGCACGCCCAGCCCTTTGGCATGTTCGATGCCACTTCCCTCAGCCACGATCCATCAAGGATCTCCGGTCACCACCCTCGACGTGCGAGCCGCCTACGAACACAAGCCCAAGCGGACGATTTTCCCGCCCTTAGGACTTGATCGGCTCCGGGCCTTTCCGAAATCGAACTTGTTTATTTCTCCCTTTGGTGTTTGGTAAATTCTTTTTACTAAACTTCATAAATCCCTTGTGATTATGTGTTATATTGCTGAAAATTACATGAAGATAAAAGGGAATTACTTGGATAAGTTGTTACTCAAATTGTTTTTTCATGTAGTGTACGTTTTAGATCCATAAGGATAAATTAGAAAACCTTATGATTTGAAATGATCTCGTGGAAATCTATTGGAAAATGGAACATCTTTGTGTCCTGATCACATCGGTTTTGACTTTGCTTAATTTGAAGTTGTATTTTTCAGGTTATGAATTTTTAAAGATGATGTGTCTGCTGCAACTTGTAAAATACCTGATTAATCGTATTGTTGCCCAAAAATTATGAAATTTGATATGTTGCTCCCTTGATGTATTTGTACGTTGTGTTAAATGTTCATAATTTTTGGAGGTCATTTGCCTG